GTGTGTGTGTATGTGGTGAGCGTGTGTGTGTGTATGTGGTGAGCGTATGTAGCATGTGGTGAGCGTGTGTGTGTATGTGGTGAGTGTGTGTATGTATGTGGTGAGCGTGTGTAGCATGTGGTGAGCGTGTGTGTGTATGTGGTGAGCATGTGTGTATGTGGTGAGCGTGAGTAGCGTGTGGTGACCGTGTGTGGTGCATGTGTTGTCTCTGAGTTGCGTGAGGAAGCTGCAGGTAGGAAGCACCCTGGGGCGCAGTGGGCCAGCGTGTGCTCTTTGCTCGCAGCGCTGTGCGCCCCAGGACTCCAGTTTCTCGTCGTTGCTGCTCACGGTGCTCACACAGATGCTGCAGTGGCTGGAGAGCCGAGCTGTGGAGCCTGGGCCCCTGCTGGCCCAGCTCAGATTGCTTGCCGCCCAGTATTCGGCCCGGCACAGAGTCGGTGATGGTGAGCAGATGTTGTGAGTGAGATGGGAGCAGGGGTGGCACGTTCCAGCAAGCTCCAGGCTCGAGGTAACGTGGGTAGGCGGCCTGTGAAGCAGAGGGTCTTCCAAGTGTCAAGGGGAGGTTTTGCTTGGGGCCAGTTGGTAATCCCTGCTCAGGAGTGAGGGGTAGGTCCAGAGCCAGGCTGATGGGCTCCCTGGCTGGTGGCCCTCATGTACATGGACACCCTCCTGCAGTCCGGAGCGCATTCCTACACCTGGCGGAGGTCCTGGCCTGCCAGCGGGACCCAGAGGCACTCACCTCTGCAGTGCGAGCCGTCACTGCCACCCTCAGGTCAGGGGAGAAGTGCAGCTTGGAGCCAGAGCTGGTCGGCAAAGGTACGAACCTGAGCTGGCCACCTCAGGCTGAGAGCACCTGGAGAAGCCTGGGGGGTGGCTGCTCCCCGGGAAATTACCTCCCAGTGCCCGTGGCCCCGTCCGGCCTCGCTGTGAGAATCCCCGTGCTGGAGCTCCCCTCCCCGTGCCCCGTGCCCGTGCCCCGTCCGGCCTCGCTGTGGGAATCCCCATGCTGGAGTGCATCCCTCACAGCAGGTCTTTCTCCATCCTGAGTCTTCAGGCACCGAGCCAGGTGCCCGACACTGCTGCCGCCCCATGCCTGTGACCTGGCCACTCTGCCCTGCGTGGCTGGCATGAACTGAAGCAGTGCTCATACACCACTTGCACACAGCTGCCAGGCCCCCCGAGGGCACCAGGTGTTGGCCACAGGAGGCTGGCAGAGGGGCCTGGGTGAAGGTGGCAGCTTAGGACACAGCGCTCTCTGCCCACAGTCCTCCGGGGTCTGATTGAGGTGCGGTCCCCCCACCTGGAGGAGCTGCGGGCCGTGCTCTTTGCCACCCCCGCAGACCCTGCCTGTGCGTGCGCCGGTGTTCAGCCTGTCACTGTGGTGAGCACCCTGCTGCTGCAGGAGGAGGAGGGGCCTGTGGGCCCAGGGCCACCACAGGCTGACGGCTGCAGGTGAGCGGGGAGGGGGCAGACGGCTGCAGGTGAGCGGGGAGGGGGCTGATGGGGCGGGGGCAGACGGCTGCAGGTGAGCGGGGAGGGGGCTGATGGGGCGGGGGCAGACGGCTGCAGGTGAGCGGGCAGAGGGCTGATGGGGCGGGGGCAGACGGCTGCAGGTGAGCGGGCAGGGGGCTGATGGGGCGGGGGCAGACGGCTGCAGGTGAGCGGGCAGGGGGCAGATGGCTGCAGGTGAGCGGGCAGGGGGCAGACGGCTGCTCGCTCAGCACTGGAGGGGTGGGACCTAGTGGCACTCTGACCTGCTGCCTCTCAGCCTGGAAGCGGTACATCTGGGGCCCTCGTCGGGACTGCTCGTGGACTGGCTGGAGATGCTGGACCCCGAGGTGATTGGCAGCTGCCCGGACTTGCAGCAGAGGCTCCTGTTTGCCCGGAACAAGGTGGGTGGGGGCTCAGGCGGGCTGTCCCTCCACCTGCCACCCGAGCAGTGCCCTGATGAGTGGTGGGCATGGTCCATGTGGTCTCCGTGTCGCACTGAGACATGGTTCCCTCAGGGCCACGTGCCTCTTCAGTCCTCGTGCCACAGCAGAGCTGAAGGGACATGTCACAAGTGCTCTCTCATTTGACGGCTGTGATTTGGAAGATCTGGTTTCAGGGCAAGCAGAGGGTCCTGAGCAGGGGCAGTGGTCAGGAGTGTGCAGGAAGGTCAGGGCCCTCCCAGTGTTGCGCCCGAGTCCAGCACCCTGTGGAAGGGCCCGGGCGCCGAGGGGCTTGCAGCCAGGCAGACTTGGCCCCATGTGCTCGTGAGAAAGCGGTAAAGCCCAGGAAGCCACTTTCTTTCTTGAAGTTCATGCCTCTGCTTCCCCGGGATTGGAGACACCCTGACTCAGCAGGAGCCACCGGCCCAGCCCTCTGCACGGCCCACAGACCACAGCAGCCTTTTTCCTCTCCAGGGCAAAGGCCATGCTGGTGCCCAGGTGCCGTCCTTCCGGCCTTACCTCTTGGCACTGCTCACGCACCAGTCCAACTGGTCCACCTTGCACCACTGCATCCGCCTCCTGCTGGGCAAGAGCCGGGAGCACAGGCGAGCCACCCCTGCCTCCTGCTGTGTGTCCCAGGGGCAGTGTGTCCCAGGCCAGCCCCCTCCCACTGGGCTGTTGTCCTGGGCCAGCCCCCCCCCCCCCCCGCCCCCCGGCAGTGTGTCCTGGATTAGCTCCCCTCCCACTGGGCAGTGTGTCCTGGGCCAGCCACTACCCGCGAGGGCAGCCACCAAGGAATGTGCTGCTGAACATGGCAGTTGCAGGCACCAGCCCCTCCCTGGTGGGGCCCTCCTCTCCTGTGCAGCAGCCATGTGGCCACCCCACACACCCCAAGCTGAGGCCTGCCCAGCCCCCATGTGCTCAGAGGCAGCCAGGGGTGCCCTTGGCGCATTCAGGACACTTGTCCCTTGTCCTCGTGGGTCTTTGTCTTTTCCCTGTGTCTCTGCCTACTCTGGTGCCACAGACCCTGAACCCCCTGGAACCCTGTCCCCCCAGGCCTGACCCATCTGCCTGCCTGGATTTCCTGTGGGCCTGTGTCCATGTGCCTCGGATCTGGCAGGGCCGGGACCAGCGCACCCCTCAGGCAGGTCTTCTGGGGACTGCAGCGGTGTGTGTGTGTATGTGGTCTGGTGGCCCTGGTGGGGTGGCATACGTGCAGTGGGGGATGTCTTGTGATGGCGTGTGTCACGTGTGGTCGGGTGTATGTCTTAGAGCACCTGACTCTCACGGTGGGCCGTATCTCGTGGTGAGGTGTCTGGCACGCATGGTGGGACATGTATCGTGTGTGTGGCAGGGTGGCATGGGCACAGTGGGCCGTGTCTCTCCGAGGGGCGTCGCGTGCCTGCTGGGCATCATGATTGGCTGTTGTGGCTGTAGAAGCGGCGGGAGGAGCTGGTGTTGCGAGTGAAGGCCCCGGAGCTCATCAGCCTGGCGGAGCTGATCCTGGCCGAGCCCGAGACACGAAGCCCCGAGGCGGACGAGGCCTCCTGCAGCCTCCTCCAGGCCCGGCTGCCTCTGCTGCTCAGCGGCTGCCGTGGGGACGACGAGGGCGTGCAGAAGGTGATGGAGCACCTGACGGGCCGCATCCAGCAGTGGGGCGACAGGTGAGGGGCGCCTGACGGCCATGTCCAACAATGGAGCCAGGTGTGGGCCAGAACATCGGCCTCCCAGGCAGTCTGTTGGCCTCCCTGGTCCCGCCTGTGGGTGACTGTGGGTGACTCCAGGCCCGTTAGCACAGGACAGTGCCCTGCTCCCTCCACCTGCTGCGGGAAGCCTGTCGTTGGTCACTCTGGACCAGCCATGTCGGGGAGCGTGGGCACGGTGCTGACACTGTCCCAGGCCCCCTGCCCCGCCGACCCCAGACCCGATCTCTTCCAGCGTGGCGGGCAAGCGCTGCCGAGAGCTGCTTCTGCAGATCTACCTGCAGCGGCCGGAGCTGCGGGGGCCTGTGCCGGAGGTCCTGCTGCGCGGGGAGGGGGCCCCTGGCAGCAGCGTCTGCAAGGTGAGCACCTGGGAGCACTCACACCCTCAATAGCGCAGGTGGAAGTGACCAGCCCTCCGTCCTTTGTTTCTGGAATAGAAACCGAACTAGGGAACAGAAGCCCGTTTTCTCAGATGAAGACGTTTAGACAGCAGGGCTCTGGTGAGCACGCTGGTGTGTGTGCACAGCCCTGCTGCCCACCCCACCCTCACCCAGTCCGCCTCCCGGAGGGCCTGAGGCTCCCTTTCCAGTTCTGCCCCTCGGCGTACTTGAGCCACGTAGCACATGCGTGCGGAAGGGATGGGATTCGACAGGCTGTGGTGCGCCGACACCCTCTGTGCTGGCTCCATAGCCGAGGGAGGGAATCTGTCCTTCACTCTGAAGTCTTCCTCGTGACCCTCAGTCATCCCCCGTCCCCAGGAGGACACTGACCGCTTTCTGTCCCCAGAGGTGGTCTGCATGTCCGAGCATTCCATGTAACTGGGTCGTACAGCCTGTATTGTTTTTGTCTTATCTTGTGTCTGACGCTGCAATGTGCGTCTGAACGTCATCCCTTCTTATGGTCGAGGAGCGAGCACTCTTATGTGGACGAGTGGGTTCGTCATCCGTTCATCTGGTGACAGACATTGGGTCCGCTTCCGGTCGCTACCCGTCACAAATAAAGCTTAGACGGGGTTTCTGAGCTGGCTGGTCAGACAGACCTACCTGCTCTGTCCTGTGGCCCCGACTGCACCACAGACACGCCTGGTGAGAAGCAGGGTGACGTTCTGATGGGTGCTGGAACGTGCACCTCAGGACACAGCAGCGTGGACTGTCGGGCCAGTTGGAACCATACTTTATGGGCGCTGCTGGTCTTTCTCATTCTGCACAGTTGTTTTAATGCCACATGGTGTCCCTCCACACATGGTGTCTGGATCCCTTACCCCTGTTCTCTTGGCATTTGGTGTTGAGAGGCTTGTTGGTTTTGTTTCTGTAGAAAGTTTGTGTCACTGCTGGGGCTGAGCTGCCTATTGGCAGCTTCTTGAGCAGTTAACATCAAATGCTGCTCGTTTGAGACTCTGGGGCCCCATTGGTGCAGGGATTAATCACTTGGCTGCTAACTAAGAGGTCAGCAGTTCAAACCCACGAGTTGCTCTGTGGAGAAAGATGCAGCAGTCTGCCCCCATGAAGACTGACAATGCCATTGAGCAGTTCTGCTCTCTCTGTAGGGTCACTGTGAGTCAGAGTTGACTTGACGGCAGTGGGGTGCGGGTGAGCTTTGGCCGTGGCCTCCTTGGTCTCTGGAAGTACCTAGAAGAGCCCTGAGGAAGCATGTTTCTCTGGGCCCGAGCTGCGTGACCAGGTCTGCAGGCAAAGGCCTGCCATGTGCCTGGTTGACCCCGTCTTGCTCCTGGAGGCAGCCACCGTGGGTGTGGGGTGGGATGGGCTGAACAAGGCCTGCCGGCGGATCCCCCAGGCCACTGACCCCTCCTTCGCAGCTGGACGGTCTCACCCACCGCTTCATCACCCTCCTGGCGGACACCAGCGACTCACGCTCATCTGAGAGCCGTGTGGCTGATGCCAACATGGTGTGCCGGAAGCTGGCGGTAGCCCACCCCATCCTGCTGCTCAGGTGCGCCGGCCCTGCTGCCCAGCCTGTGTCCGGGGGAGGTCCCCGGGAGCCTCACTCCCGCCCACATGAGAGCGTTCAGAAGGACTCTGCCGCTGGACACCGACTGGTGACCAGAGTCAGTGGCTGGGAAGTCACAGCCAGGACAGGGCAGAGCCGGGAGCCGGCAAGAGGCCACACCCAGGCCCTGCAGGCTTCAGGTCGGGGCCCAGGCATCACTGTGTCGGGCACCTGCACACCCAGGCAGGCACTGTGTTGTCCCCTGCGTGGAACGTACCGTCCTCACAACCCCGGGCTGAGAGCGTCTTGTGGGGCCCTGGACGGCACTGATTCTGGGGCTCTGCCCGCCTGCAGGCACCTGCCCATGCTGGCCGCCCTGCTGCACGGGCGCACGCACCTCAACTTCCAGGAGTTCCGGCAACAGAACCACCTGACCTTCTTCCTGCACGTGCTGGGCGTCCTGGAGCTGCTGCAGCCGCGGGTGTTCCGCAGTGAGCACCAGGGGGCGCTGTGGGACTGCCTGCTGTCCTTCGTGAGACTGCTGCTGGTGCGCCTTCCTCCCGGGGGCGGGGCTGTGCCTGGGGGCGGGGCCAGGGCTGGGCCTGGGAGGGGCTGAGGCACACCAGGGTGGAGAGAGTCCTGGGTGCCCACTCCCCTCCCCGACCCCCATATCTAGGGGGCTACAGCTGGAGGCACAGAAGATGGGGGACACTTCTCTGTAGGGAGGGTCCTATGGGGGCAGGAGTGCCTGGAGGTGCTACTCCCAGCCCTGCCACCCACACTTGCCTCCTGTCGGCGGCCCAAGCAGGCACCCACTCCTATCCATGTAGGGTCGGGATGGCCAGTGCTCCTGGCCCATTGTGAAGAAAGGACTCGGTGCCTGGACGTCACCTTCACCCTATCCCTGTACCCAAGTCGGCCAGCCGGAGGCCCCTCTGGCTCAGCTCCCTCCTGCTGCCCTGGCCCGGGGTTTCTGAGCGGGCCTGGGACCGCCTCCATCAAGCCCTCAGTGCCTTGGCCTCTGAGTCCTTTCGGGACGTCCTTTCATTTGTGCTGTGAGCTCACGGAGGGCAAAGCTATCTGGACCATGGCAGCTTTGGCTTCAGTCAGTTCTGTCATGTTGGGCGGTAGCACGGCCTGGTCCTGTCGGGTCTCCTGCGGGAACCCGCGGCAGTGCCGGACCGGGCAACATCTGTCTCCAGCTGTCGTCCTGCCTTCTTTCCAGAACTACCGCAAGTCCTCCCGCCACCTGGCCCCCTTCATCAGCAAGTTTGTGCAGCTCCTGCATAAATACATCACCTGCAACGCCCCCGCTGCCGTTGCCTTCCTACAGAAGCATGCCGATGCGCTCCAGTGAGTACCCACCACACCCAGCCCACCTCCCTACACACAGCCGCCTCCCACCGCTGAGCCCCGGGGCCGCCTGCACAGCCTGCCCCACCCCACACACAACACACCCCACACACCCCCTGCTCCCACCCCGTCAGCCTAGGGCCACCTGCACAGCCCACCTCACCCCACACACAATACGCCCCACCCCCACCTTGTCAGCTGTGGCCCTTCCCATTGAGGCAGTCTGCCCAAGAGACCTTGGGGTGGGGTGGGGGGCAGCAGAGAGGTGTGTCTGGCCCTGGGGGTCCAGGGCCACTGGGGGTGGGGCGTCTAAGGCTGGAGCATGTCCTCCCCAACGTGGAGCTGACAGACAGCTGACTTGGTCTGCAGGCCGCCCCCTCAGCCTTGCCCGCCCTGCACCACGTGCCTCCTGACCCTTGGGTCTGCCCTCCGTCCATCCCGGTCCCTCCCGTGATCTCTCTGTCAGACTCCACCTGACTTCCTGTCCCATGGGTCTGCCCTCCGTCCATCTGGGTCCATCCCGGTCCCTCCTGGGTCTGCCCTCTGTCCATCCCGGTCCCTCCCGTGATCTCTCTGTCAGACTCCACCTGACTTCCTGTCCCATGGGTCTGCCTTCCGTCCATCTGGGTCCATCCCGGTCCCTCCTAGGTCTACCCTCCATCTATCACGGTCCCTCCCGTGATCTCTCTGTCAGACTCCACCTGACTTCCTGTCCCATGGGTCTGCCCTCCGTCTATCTGGGTCCATCCCGGTCCCTCCTGGGTCTGCCCTCCGTCCATCCCGGTCCCTCCCGCAGTCTCCTTGTCAGACTCCACCTGACTCCTGTTCCCGTGACCATGTGCTCTCCCTCCTCAGTGACCTGTCCTTCGACAACAGCGACCTGGTGATGCTCAAGTCCCTCCTGGCTGGGCTGAGCCTGCCCAGCAGGAGTGGTGTTGCCGACCGGGGCCTGGATGAGGAGGGCGAGGGTGAGTCCTCCCTGCACCAGCTGCTGGGGCTGGAGACTGGCCACGTGATCATTCCTAAACGCACCATGTGTCCAAGGCAGGAACTGCGTGTCTTAGCCTGGTGCCCAGCATGGGGCCATGACCCCCTGAGCCGTCACAGAGGCACAAGTTGGCTGCAGACTGGTGGGCCCCACAGTCTGCTCACTGTCCGTCCCCTGTGACTGAGCAGTCACCTGGAGGATGCTGGGCTGTCCCCATGAGCCGGGTCCTCTGTGGCGGCCTGCCCTCCTCACTCCCCTGCAGAGTGGATACCCACCCTGGGTTCCTGGCCCAGCCCACACTCCATCTCAGGCCTGTCTCCTTGGGGACCCTAACGTCAGGGCCCCCATGTGCCTGGTCTGGTCTGAGTGACGGGGTTCAGCTCCTCACTGCCCAAGTACTGTCTGTCCCTTGTGGGGAGGTCTCGTGGTGGGCATGTAGCACGACATTGGTACAGGTGCTGGGTGCCAGGCCTGATTCCTGCCATGGGGTGAGGGCGGAGGTGAAGCAGGTGGAGACGGGAACACTCCCGTCTGCTGTCCGCCCCTGCTGGCCCTTCTCCACCCTGCCTGCTGAGCCCTCCTGTGGCCCAGCCCCTGTGTAACCTGGCTGCCTGGGCAGACGTCCTCCATGAACGGACGAGGCCCAGTACCTCGGTTGTGACCTTCCCCGTGTCCCTGCACTCCGGGCGCTGCTGCCCCTTCCCCGATCCCCCGAGTACCTTGGCGGAAGCGGGCCATCAGCCCTCAGTAGCACCGGCCCCTCTTCCAGATGACAGCCCCGCCGGCTCCCTGCCCCTGCTTAGCGTCTCTCTCTTCACCCCGCTGACGGCAGCAGAGGTGGCCCCCTACGTGAAGAGGCTCTCCCGGGGCCAGACCGTTGAGGGTGAGGTGGGGGATCCTGGGGAGGGGGTGTGGCTCACAGGCCTGGGACTGCCCTGAGCAGAAGCCAGCAGTTGTCTGGTCTGCAGGCGGGGCACACTGGGGCTGGCCCTGCCATGGGACACACCGGGCAGCAGGCAAAGCAGACACAGTGGGTGGTCAGGTCACGGGTAGGCCTGGGGGCCAGCAGCTCCCTGCCGTGGAGGGGTACAGTGGCATTCTCGCAGCAGGCCTGTTGGGCCTGGATCCCTCCTCAGCCTGCTGCAGGGGGTCTGGGAGGGCCTAGGCGTGTGCACTCTGAGCTCCTGGGTCCAGCACCCACGGGACAGGGCTTCCTTGGTGCCACGGGTTTGGGAAGCCAGCTGGACACTTGGGGACTTTCTGTCCCAAGATGCCTGGGTGTCAGCAAACACAGGGAAGGCTCCAAAAGGGTCCCCAGTAGGCCCCAGCGCAGCAGGGGTGCTGGAGCGTCTGCCTGCAGCTCTGTCCCTGCCCCCCTCAGATCTGCTGGAGGTGCTGAGTGACATCGACGAGATGTCCTGGCGGAGGCCGGAGATCCTGGGCTTCTTCTCGGTGAGCGGGAGGGGCGGCTGGGCCCCTGCTGCAGGCGGCTCTCCTTGGAGGGAGACATGGGCCGGTGGGGATTGGCCCTTCACTGTCCACCCATTACCTGGTGAGAGCCCAGGGCCGAAGATGCAAGCCCTGCACAGGAGGGCCTTCACTGACAGCCTTTCACTCCGCCCCCCAAGACCAACCTGCAGAGGCTGATGAGCTCGGCCGAGGAGTCCTGCCGCAACCTGGCCTTCAGCCTGGCCCTGCGCTCCATCCAGAACAACCCCAGGTGAGCCCGCACCCCTCTGTGCCCCCCCGCGGGCTGGGCTGCTCCCAGGTGAGCCCGCACCCCTCTGTGCCCCTCTGCGGGCTGGGCTACCGGCTGACCGGCCGCTCGGACCCCCTGCTCCCAGGGATGGAGCAGCATCCCAGGGAGCCACTGCCACCCCGGCATCCAGGGCTCCTCAGGGGCAGGGTGGGAGGTACCCAGCCAGGCATCTCTTCAGCATTGCAGCCGACTTCCTGCCTACCTTCATGTACTGCTTGGGCAGCCGGGACTTTGAGGTGGTGCAGACAGCCCTCAAGAACCTGCCCGAGTACACCCTCCTGTGCCAAGGTGAGCCCCCACGCTCTGCCGCCCGCTGCTCGGTCACTCGAGGCCCTGGGCGTTGGAGAGCTACCCCCATGGGCGCCTCTGAGCCTGCAGCGTCTGTGTCCCCACAGAGCACGCAGCCGTGCTGCTGCACCGTGCCTTCCTGGTGGGCATGTATGGCCAGGTGGACACCAGTGCCCAGATCTCCGAGGCCCTGAGGATCCTGCACATGGAGGCCCTCATGTGAGCCCGGGAGAGGACAGGGCACCGAGCGGCCAAGTCAGAGCTGGGGCAGCCTCCCCACAGCTCAGGTCGAGTCACGTCTGCAAGTGACTGAGGGACCCTGCCCAGCATGGTGAAGGCTGACCCTGACCTCACCCTCTAAATGAAACCGTCTGAGCCCCATGTGTTGTCTGTCTGCATCCTTGTACCTGTGCCTCAGCCCGGCTGGGTCTCTCATGCCTCCCCGAGGCCAGGCGTTAGAGCGGTGGGCAAGGTCCTTGAGGACTGCGCCTGGGGTGGGCCTCTGCACCTGGGGCGGGCCTCTGCGCCTGGGGTGGGCCTCTGCATCTGGGGCGGGCCTCTGTGTCCAGGGTGGGCTCTGGGGCGGGCCTCTGCACCTGGGGCGGGCCTCTGCGCTCCGTGCACGGCCAGCGGCCTCGTGGAGTCTGAGCAGGGGTGGACAGACCCCGTGCAGCCTCTCAGCACTGGATGGAGCTCTGGGAGAGCCCTAGCTCTCCCCATGGGTGCCCAGAGGTCAGTGAACACCCGGGCCCTGGGCACTTGCCAGCGCACTCCTGCTTGGGCTGGGTAGTCGGAGCTGCCAAGGGCACTGTGGCTGAAGGGAGGTGAGGAAAAGGTGGGACAGTGACTGGGAAAGTGCTCAAACTGACTCAACCCCCAGGACCCACAAAGCCAGCACAGAGTGATCAGGGAGAAGGGCCAGGTCCCAGCCCTGCAGAGGCAGCTCCATCCCCCACCCGCCTGCCCCCTTCCCAATCCTGGGAGGCCCCAAGGCAGCACAGGCCTGGAGACCAGGCCAGGTGGGCCTGCAGGGCAAGGGGTCGACCATACTGTCCCTGTGCCCCGTCTCCAGCCTGCCCCGCGATGGGGGCACTCCTCCAACTTGCCAGGCCCAGAAACTCCTCTTAGTGCTGTGCCCCCTCACAGCACCATGGTGCTACCCCACCCAGGGCCTGGGTCAGCTGGGGGCATCATAAGGCCCTGGTGCCCCTGGTGCTCAGCTCAGAGTCACGAGGGGCACCGTACAGTGGCAGGCCTGCCCTGCCCCCCAGGGCCTGGGTCAGCCTGTCCCAGTGGCATGCTAGTGAGCTCCCAGTCACTGGGCCGGCCACAGAGCCCAGCTGGCTCGGGCTCCTCAGGGCCCTGCCCCTGGGCCCCTGGTTCTGCAGGAGAGGAAAGACGCTGTGCCAGGCTGGGCAGAGCTCACGGGGTGGCCGGCTGCCGGACGGGTGGGGAGGCAGGGACTCCTCAGTCCCCTCTTAAGGTCTTAGGTTTTACTTCTGATGTGGGAAGGGACTCATCCTGACTTTCAGGCAGGCTGAGCCAAGGATGACCGAGTCATGGGCTGAGAAGGACAGCCTGGGCCCAGGCCTCAGGCCCATGGCCAGTTTTGTAGAGGCAAACAGGCCCAGGCAGCTGCTTCAGGTCCTGAGGGGTCAGGCTGCTGGGTGGCCTTGGGGGTCTGGGAGCCAGAGCAGCCTGGCCAGGTGTCGCTGGACAGCAGCAGGTGTCTTGGCTGTGGGTGGGGTGTGAGCTCTCTCCCCTGGGACTGCTGCCCCTTCTCTCCCGGGGACGGTGACCCCCCACCCCCACCCCGGGAAAGCCCTGGCAAGGACAGGCCAGCAGAGCAAGATTCTCAGGCCCCTTTAGGGCCAGGCTGGACCTCAGGAGAGCTCGGGCCCCACAAGGCACACAGCTGGGCATGGAAGGCATCAGTTGTGCCTGGGGGAGTCGGGAAGTGGGTCTGGAGGGCTGAGTAGGAGGTTTTTAGGAGGAGTCTTTGGGGTCGGAGTTGAGGGTTTTGCCTGCTCGCCCCGCCATCCTGTGGGTGGAGGGCTGTCCTGCAGCACCGGCAGCCTGGAGGAGATTGCTGGGCTTGGAGTGCGGGGGCCCCCAAAGATAGAGACCTCCCCGGCTACGGGGAGAGGAGCCAGGCGAGCCAGTCCTGGGGGCTGCGGAGCCCAAGGCCCTGACCTGCAGAAGGATGCTGTGTGGTCACCTGTCGTTGGCTCTACACTTGGGTGGCTGCTGTGTTCACCAGGGGACGCCGGCTCCCTGGAGCCTCCCTGGAGGTCAAGTGGGTGCTGAAGGGACCATCGAGGGGTTGCTGGACCGCCACCCCCCCCAGATCCACTTCACGCCAGTCAGCGTTACAGCAGGGACCTCAGGAGCCCACGGGCAGCAGATCTCCAGCCGAGGGTGCCTTAGGGACAGCAGAGTGGCCGCAGGAGCCTGGTGGTGGCCTGCTCAGGTGAGGCCACAGTGGGAGTCCTTCCACCTCGAGTCTCCCTGCTCCCACCCTAGGCCCTCCTGCCCCAGGAGCTCCTTCCCTAGATCCTGGCTATGCTGCACTGCCGACCCCAACCAAGGCCTGGCCGGCCCACCCCCATGGGCCCACCGGATTCTGATGCCAGCTCAGCCCCTTCTGCTGTGGGCCTTGGGCAAGCTGCCTTTCCTCTCTGCGCCTGCAGGTGGCTGCGAGAGCCGAGTGTGCAGCATCTGACAGACAGGCTTTGTCGCTCGCTCAGCTTTGTGGAGCCGGCCTGGAGAGGTGTAGGGTCCGGCCAGGGCCACCCAGCGGGCCAGGGCGGGGGTCCTGACCACTGTTCACGCGGGAGCATGGGGGAGCCGGGCGTTAGCAGGGGTTCTTTAAACGGCACGAGGAGGATTAAAACTGTATTTATTGCCCATCGTCGTCGTAGCTGAGCGTGATCCATAAAGGTGTGGTAAATGTTTTATAATGTTTTTGTAACCCGCTATAAATGATGAATGGCTGACTGCAGATCCCGGATCAAATATTTATAGTGCGTTGTGTGCGACGCTGCCGCTGCAGTTCAGGAAGCCATTAATAATAGAGCGGGTGGCGAGGCAGACCGTGCACACGCCAGCAACGCTGTCTGTAATGAGGTGTAAGACCTGGCTCCGGGGGGCCCCGCCGGCCGCCTTCTCAGAGCCCGAGACAGGAGCAAGGTCGTGGATGACATGTGCACTGGGGTCTGGAGAAGGACGTACCGTCCACCCAGAGCCTGCGTGTCAGTATGCCGGTCGCATACCCTAGGTGGCATGGACCATTTACTGGCCCCTCACAATGGGGTGTCCCCGCTCCAGGCTCCCATTCCCACCTGAGACCAGAGGGTGGCATCAGCTTCCTAGGCCACCAGATGGCGTGCCCAGGAGTCCGGCCTCTGGGCATCCTGGCTGTGAGGCCTGTGATCTGTCAGTGTCCACTCGGGGGGCTCTGTTCCCCTCTCCCGTCCTTTGGCTCGCCTCTGACACCCAGACTTCCTTAAACACTGAGACAAGGGACCTGTGTTATGACCAAGATGGCCCTCGGCAAGGCCGCAGTGAGGACTGGAACTTGGTCCTACGTCTGGCTTGTGTGAGCTGGGGTTCCCAAAGCACGTTCTGCAGGACACCACACTGACAGCTCTCCAGAAAGGATTCTGGGCAGACTGGTTTGGGAACCCCATGGTGAGGTGATGGCCCGATGGGAGATGAAGGCTGTGGGGGGAGCTGCTGTGTGGGGCAGGACGTCTCTCGACCCTCTCCACTGTCCCCTCCACAGACGGCCGGGCGGGTGTGCTTGGACCTGTGACACTGGCTCGGCCAGTAGCCCTGATCCGGTCACGCCCCCAAAGGTCCACAGGCCCTCCTTCCAGCCCCCTTCAGGTGCCGTGCCCAGCCCCCACACTGCCACCTTCCTAGGTGTCTGACCACCAGTGTGGCCTGCAGCAGCTCAGCCGTCCCTCCAGCTGCTTTGGGATGGAAGCTAGTGGCCTGTGCCTCCCTGGGCGCCAGCATCATCCCTGCTCCCTGAGGAAGGTCCCCCTCTACCCACAGTGAAAGGGTGGGGTCACATGTTGGAAGTGGAGTCATGCCCCAGACGGGTGGACAATTGGCAGGTCACCATCCCGGCCGACCCTGATCTTGGCCCCTCTAGCTCTCCGTGGCTTGGGGCAGGGGCTCCTCAGCCCCGTCCTGCCGGCTGACCACGTGGTCTGTTGTCCTGATCGTCTGTTTCTGCAGCATGGGGTGAACATGCCTGTGAGAAATGAGAGTGCGAGTGCCGTCATGGCAGGAGCAGCAGGTGTGGGGCCTAGCTGGGCCCTGCTGCCCCCATGACCACCTCCCTACCCCAGCCTGGTTCTCTGGGCGCAGTTCCACCCACCGGCCCTTTTTCATTCCTCCTGAGTGCTGTGGGGCCTTTCTGCCAGCAGACGGCCTCTCCAGTCACCATCTTGCCGTCCGGCCTCAGTCCTGGGGTACCCCCTCTAGGAAGCCATCTCTGGCTTGCAAAATGACCTTGAGACAGAGGCCCCAATGCCACCTCCAGGGACCTGTCACAGATGAGTTCCCAGTAAGGGGCTGTGTGTGCGTCAACTACACCAGCTGCTGTAAGGAACATGCCCACAGCTCACTCTTCCCAACAGCTCACTTTTCTTTTTCATCATGAATTTTGTCTGGAGGCCTGACGGGCCATCAACAGGCGTTTTCATTTTCTGCTTTTGGTGGCTGGATTTTCTTCAGGAAGTATGTGCAGCTTGGTTCCCTGGAAACACGCTGGCCCTTTGTTTTCTTTGGAAGTCTCTCTGGCTCTTGAGTCGGGGTCTGCAGATGTTCTCCAGGGCTTGAGGGCTGGAGCCCCCTCCCAGGCCTGTTGGTTCATAGCGCTCACCTGCCCCCCAGCCTCAGGCTCAAGTGTGATTGCAGGAAGCTGCGTTGAGTGAGTGTCTGCTCTACCAGGAAGTCCCTGCATAGTGCAGATGGCTCAGTGCTCAGCTCTTAAGCAAAGGTTGGCGTCCACCCAGAGGTACCTCAGAAGAAAGGGCTGGCAGTCTTCCCAAACATCACCTGTTGGAAACCTCACGGAGCCCAGTTCCGCTACAGCACCTGTAGGGTCACCGTGATCAGAGGTGACCTCATGGCACCCGACTTGGTTTTTGCTCAACTGTGTGCTTCTCCTAAGGTGAAAGTGGGGGGGGTCTGTGACACCCCCTTGCAGGTGATGCAACAGGCAGAGTGGGGCAGGGAGTTGGGCAGATGGGGCCGGGTCTTACCGACACCAGACCCCTCCCCAAAGCAGAGTGCACAGCTGTTTTGATCTCAGCGAATCGGGACAGGAGCTGGTGAGCGTTGGTGCCCATCTGGGGAGAGGGAGGCGGGGACGAGGGCCTCACTGGGAAAGCAGTGTGGCTGATGCCCAGGAGGGGCCCACCCCTCAGCCATTGCTTGGAGCGACACCCACCATTCAGCAAACACTCAGCAAACCAGGTGCAGGAGGGAGGAGGCATCAAGTCTGACAGGGGGGGGCCCCTGGGTGCAGCTCTCGGGGGAGGGAGGGCCCGGATGGGAGCCCGGGGTGGACGGAGGAGCCACTGGGGACCCTGGGTGGCATCAAGGGGGAGGGGGAGTGGCAGAAGGGTGCGGCAGGGAGAGGCCGGGCTGGCAGGAGTGATATGCAGGGGCCAGCTGGCCATCAAGGCCTGGGAGACGTGATAAGGAGCCTGGACTTTATTCAGAGGGCAGCCAGGGAGGTAGGTTCTGAGCAGGATGGGGCTCAGCTGAGTCTGCGTCCTAGAAAGTTCTGAAGACTGGTGGGGATCCTGGGGAGGATGGTGCAGTGGTCAGAGCCAGGGTGGCAGCGGTGGGCAGAGGGGCATAGGAGTGTCCCGGTCCTAGCCTGGGGCCCCCAGAGAAGAGAGAGCATCCCTGAGTGATGCAAATGTGTAATATGCTTGCTGCTAACTGAAAGGTTAGACTTCCACCCGGAGAGGACTCAGGAGGAGGCCCGGGGAGCTGGGCTGAAGATCTTATGTTGGCAGCTCTTCTCCCACCCACCTGGGGCGCGAGGAGTGGGAGTCTGCTCTGGTTGGAGAGGAGGGGCTGAGGGAAGGACAGAGCTGCGGGATAGAGACATTTCCTGTGGCCCCAGGGAACTGCTGGACATGCTTGTTCCAGGGCACTGTCACCAGAGGGCCCCTTGGTGACTGGGGGGAGGTAGGGTGGGTTTCATGATAGCAGCTCTGACACTTAAAAGCCGGAACTTGTCACCTCCCATTGAGCTCCTTGTGGAGTGGCGGATGATCCCCAGTACCTGCCCCTGTCCCCTCCACCGTGGCCCCAGGCTGACACCTCACCATTTCACCCTTTCCCTTCATTATAGTGGCTTTTCCGGTTCTAGTGGCTGCCCTGGTGCCAAGAAAACCTACTTCCCAGGCCAGCCTCAGCTGAGTTGGCACAAAACTGCCCTTTGTCCCCTTGCTGGAGACCCACTGCACTGCAGCCATGCTAGGTCACAGGGCTCTCTGTCTGGCACTTCCTTGCATACGCCCTGGAACGGGGAGCTCACTGGCGTTCACAGACCTCACTCACTACAGACGACCAAGGCGATCCACTCTGAGGGCATAGTTCCTTCAAATGGGCAGGGATGCCAGCCCCTTCTCCTTCTGAAGTTTGTAGGAAAGCGCCCTCCTGCTGGCTGGAGGAGATTCTGTTGAGAGCTGTCTGGACAAGCCCTGTGGCAGGGGCGGAGATAGGATGGGGTCCCTTTTATTCTGAGTGTCAGTATTTCTGGCTTGGTCCAGTCCACGTGCCATGCACAAGCACCACTGGAAGAATGGGGGTGTGAAACGCCCCCCGGATCACTTAGGGCCCTCCCAGAGTTACTTTTTCTAATTACTGACGTTACAAGATGATGAAAGTGGAAAATTGGGAAACAGCAAATTACCCGGATCCCTGGGAAGCCCCTGCTCCAGGAACAGCCCGAGTGGTTAGGCCTCAGGGAGCCAAGACGCGGCTTGGAATTGGGCCCCACCGCAAGTGAGGTACCCCCTGCTACACAGGCCGGAAGGCCCTTTGAAGACTATAAAATGCCAGGCGTGGTCCTCACCGCCCCAGGAGCCGGATTTAACGCCTCCCCAGGGAGTCCAGCTGCCCAGGGCAGGCCGGCTCCACCGCTTCTTAGCCGCGTGACCCCAGGCAGGTCATGTCTGTCTGTGCCTCAGTTTCTCCATCCCTAAAGTGGGCTTCCCTTCGTCTTCTCCATGATGAGGGTGAGGTGGGGATGCAGCATTGAAAAGAAAGAAAAGCAGACCCCCCGCCCCAACTCCAGGCTCTAGTGTTGGAAGGAAGGCTGGCCCTTTCTGGTCCTTCTGGTCCTGGCTTCCACCCTCGGCCTCCCCTCTCCGTGTGTCTGTCTCCTCCACTTTCTCTTTGGAACAGGGACAGCCTGGACAGGACTCCCAAAGCGGGCCCTAGGCCCCGGCCTTTTTCCTGTACCCCTGAACTAGGATTGCAAGAGGGGTTGCCGGGCGGGGGCGTGGTTGATAGGCAGGGGGCGTGGCCTCGCTGCCTGGCTTACTCCTGCGGGCTGGATAGGACAGGGTCCCGGGCAGGGGCGTGGCCCAGGAGGGCAGAAGTGGGCGTGGCCTAGAATGGGGGCGTGGTCGGCGAGCAGGGTGCGTCTAGGGAGCTTGGCCCACGAGGGCAGATGTGAGACCTGGACATGGCCAGCGGAGGGCGCGGAGTGGTGGGTGGGCGGGGCAGCGCCTGG